CAGTTAGCCAGGGACCCATTTACGCCGTTGTCTCGTAACGAAATTATAACTTACCCATCATATGTACAAAATTTGGTACAGCGATTAGACGACATTCGCTATATAACACGGAAAAATATAGATGACAGCAAATTACGTTCCAAATTATACTACGACCGTAGTAGTGACAAAATTAATTTCAAACCAAATGATCTCGTTTATGTGTTAAAAGAACCGCGAGTAGGAAAATTCGATTCACCCTATGAAGGACCATTTAAAATTTGCGATATCACGGAACAAAATAATGCTATTCTAATGAAGGAAAATGGTCAAAAATTCATGAAACACTTCGATAAGCTAAAACATGCTCATTCCAAGGAAAAACCGCCTTGAAGGTATTTGGTATCGGTTAACAATAGCCGATACGGTAATAGAAAGCTTAATAAGTTAAAACTTTAACCTTGCCAATTTAAACAACAGATCTAAAAATAAATAATAAAATTTATTACCACCTAATTCTAAAAATGCGTAACTCTTGACCACACTGTATTAATACAACGCTCGAGTTCTCCACATCTCCAATGTCGGACGCGCATGCCGCCGCGTCGTCAGCACAGATACCAAATGCTTACAGTAAATTCCCGAGACACCTGACCGCTGATCTCCAGCCTCGCGTGGGAATCCGCTCACCCCTTCCCATGTCGCGAAACATTACCGGAAACGAAAAATTGTTTAACTTCACCCCTCTCGAACTAGTTTTCGACAACTGCAACATGCCGTCCCCAAAGGACAAATCCAGCCAGATGCCGGACCAAGCTGAGGAATTTTATGGACTCATGGACGAAGCTCTACTCGAGGGCTATCCTTGCGAACGTAACGATATTAAGCAATTACTATGCGTTACCACAAACAGCCTTGACACCGTGTATAGACACAACCACGACTGGGTATGCTCCAAGTGTCTCCCAGCATTGCCGGTCCGCTTCCGGAAACGGTTCTATCCGCATGGAGTACATGCTTTATGCACAAGACGAGGAGCCGATGGAATAGCCGCATGCGTCATATGCTCCAAAAATATAATATCAATCAGAGCAGCCGACACCTGTCTCGAATGTACTACAGAGTATCGCGAACTAGCAGAAAGGGAGAATGAAACGCTCTACAACGACGAACCTATAGATATTACAATACGTTGGCTAGAGTATATCGAGGAATCAGCGGATCCTAATTGGGAAATATCTCATGATTAAATTGGAGATATCTCACACGATTAAAAAACAACGCCTCCCCAGTAATAAACCATAACTAACTAAGTTTCTTTTCCCTCCGTTAACATCAAATAGCTACATTGCCCATGTTCAATGACACGCGGATGCCTCGGCTAGCCACCCCAGCAGAGAGGCTGCTCCCGCCGCCTATCCTGGACAACCTAAGGCGGAGGGAGTGCATCCAGGGACAGGCTTGGGTGGGACCCAATGGCACCATCGTCTGTGATGTGGTGCGAGAAGGTCGTCTCGCCCACGCAGCGGCCCGCTGCCGAGAGTGCCGGAGATGGGCACTCAACAGAAACAACCCGGATCATTGCCCACAATGTATCGCAGCCATCGCTGCGACACCATGGGCCGAGCTGGCGGTGCGGCCCATAATTCAAGTGCCGTCGCACATAAACCAGCCCCTTCCCCCAAGCCCCGTATAATATTATTATTATTATTATTTTATATTACTACCTTTTACATTATTATTTCATATTACCATGTTATATATATATATTATCTTAACCATATATATATTATATTATCTCAAAAAAAATATTTCACCATTTTATATTATTTTTATTATTATATTTATATTATATTATTTTTTAATATACGAGGAATTTTTCTCGGAATCTAGAACTTTTTACAAAATTGGTGTCAGAAGTTCTCGGAGTTAAAATTATATTATATTATATTCATTGCGTTACGAATATTATGTAAAAATTTAATCGATTCGCTTTACGTTCTGACCGTTTATCAGCGATTACGATAACGCGCATTCCAACGCCTGTATAACGTCTCTCCCATGTCAATAAAAAATTTTATGCATAAATCAACGATTGTTGAACGTCGATCGATAATCGAGGGCGTTTTGCTCGACTATGTTCTTCCAGCGACTCGAGGCACTCGTTGCATCATTCTTCCTATCCGAGGTATTCTTTGTTACGTATACAGAACTCTCCGTTTTTAGAAGCTCGCGTTCATTAATCTTATTTTATCTACCCTTCTGGAATTTGGAGCTCGGTCTCACTGGAGTGCATCTTGCAGCTGCATCCTCTTAATATCATCTTTGATTCGCGTTGTGTGGGATATTTTCTAATCTACCCTTTTCCCAGGGCACACAGCTGCCGACCTCAGAGCAACGAAAATCCTAACCGTCAAATTTCCTAATATGGAAATCACTGGCGGTTCCCCACCAACATTTAGGGGTATATAAACCCATGATTTTCGATGCTCGGGGGCTCGTACGAAAGGGTTACTCGTTAGAGACACATTGATCGTCTGTAGAGTAGTACTCTAGCGAGATCAGGCTTCAGTTCATTTTGATCATCGTTACCATATAGATCCGCGAAGACGGTTTTAAAATCTATTACGGCCATAAAAGTACTCTCGACCCCCGCATCGCCAGTGCGTCAACACCGCACAACACTTAGGTAATTTTAACTTCATACACTAACCGCGACAACACGACACTGGACACTTGTAATTAGTATAGTTATTTTGAATATATACTCTTTGTGTAAACTTAAAAGTCTGTAAGATCAATCATCAAACCTTTACTTTGAAATCACCAATCCTAGCCAGTGTAACGATCCCACAACATAATAACTTTACCGCTCGAGTTATTATTCTATTAAATTAACAAGTTGCGAGGCTTTATCCGCGACGCGTAGTATTCATTACCGATACGATTTAGTCATTGTGTACTCAACCCGAACTCCTAAACTTAACCTATCCTACGGTTACCCTTCACTGGGAGATACCGATTCCTGCAGCTATCTGTCTTCGCGTCAGAGTCGTCTGCATTGTCTAATCTATCCTCAGCCTTCGGCACCATTGATACACAATAATTAATTTGTATATGTATATGTATTTTATTCCATTCTAAATATCGAATAGATATTCATTTTATACTTAAAAAAAATATTTTTTTTCTAAATCTAGAATAAACATCATATGTATATTTAAATATTAAAATGAGATTCAATCTCTTTTATTGGATGAATATGTATTCAATATTTTGTGCTACTAGGGTATGTGAACCTGACACCCAACTGGCAAAAAATTAACTTTTTTTTACGGAAAATAATAGTGGTTCGTTTCGATTTTAGTATTAGGTTCTTATAATTTGTTTTCATTTATCAATTGATGAAACTACAAACGAAATACTATCATTTTCCGTAAAAAAAGTTAATTTTTTAAGTCAGGTCCCACGTTCATATAGCTTACAAGGAGACATCGCCTAATGTCCCCCGAATTATTTAATCAAATTTTTTTCATATATAAAGAAGAGTATGTAGGACAATCTCTGCAAGTGAGAAGGCGCGACTCTCTTTCGTTCTCGAGAAATAAATTTTTAAAAATAACTAAATTTCGATTGACGAATGTCAACTGTATAAGAGTCAAATGTATCATAGAAGCAACGTAGCACAGTGAATAGAGTGTCATGTTGCGAAGACGATCTTTTGCGCTGGAAGCGGTTCGATCCCGGTAGAAGTCGCTTATTTTTTTGTTTACTTTTTCTTTCGTTTGTACTATGTTTTGTTATAGAAACTACGTTTTTATATATTAAGATTATTTTGATACAATATTGTGCAATTTTTATGTTTTTTATCGCATTGAAAAAAAGTCAAAAAAAAAGAAGGAAGAAAAAAAAAGAAAAGGAAAAAAAGAAAGGAGAAAGAAGTTGTGCAATGTTTGTTTAATATAATTAAATTGTTGTTTACAAACTATAATGACGTAAGTTTTTATAAAAGCTTGTAGACACTCCTTCCACATCCTAACTTCTTTTCTGTCAGATTTTGCAATTTCGCTTTTGAAACATGCTAAAAATTTGTTCAAATGCAAGAAATTTTTTTTTCAATTTTCTCCAAAAAACACTTAATGAGACGATAGATTTACTTCCCCTGATTACGAAATGCATAATTATTATATGTTTTTTTTCATTATTGTGCCTGAAAAACGTGAAAAACTATCTAATAGTTCACCTACTCTCCGTTGGTGGCGCCAGTTTATCTCCTGTACACCCTTAAAATCATTACAATAGGCATAATGTAAACAAACATATATATATCAAAAGAGGAAACAAGACAAACACATCGGCAAACTTCAGATTTATTCGAAACCTAGGGTTTTGCCCATCGCTGCTAAGCGGTTTATTGTATTTATTATTTTATATTAGAAGCATAAGTTTACCTGACTGTATGCCACTTAGGCAATAAGAATAACAATAAGGTGAACAAGATAAATAATAGTAAAAGATAAGACTAAAAGATAAATGTAAACGACAGGACCAATAGATATAACACTAATGTAATCTTGATATTATGTACCCAATAAAGTATTGCAAACTCAAACTCGAACTGCTGCTTTACAGATTACAGTGCAACGCTAAAGTAACTTTTAGTCACGACGGTACACTGTTCTGATGCACATTTGATTTACTTCTAGAAAAGAACGGATTGCTCACCCAATGGTATCTCTCTCAACAGATACATTCTGGAATATTTGTTATATGGAAAGTAGATGTTCCTGTGTAAATACAGTTCAGTAAACAGTCCATGTTTATGTAGTCAACGTTTGATAGTATATTTTTAAGAAACGTAAAATGTTATTTGAAATAGATCATTTCATTAATTTCATTTCAAAGTATATACTATACAATTCATTGACAATGTCAACATAAAATACTAATGTATGAATGACTTGGAAAAAACCGTTTTCCTTGTATTCTCGTCAATTGACCGTTTATCGCGTGAAGAAGCATAGAGGGGATAGCGATATAAGCAGACCACGGACATTGTGTCCGTGAAGCAGACTTATCGTGTTGATCCTTGTCAGTTCTCAGTTTATCAGAAGTCTCATTGCGTGTGGCACAGTGGAATAATTGATGATAAATAGACTTTTTAAATATCGCACGTTCACGTAATTATATTAAATATGGTAATATCATCATTTGATAACACTTATCATATCAAACATAATTATTTAGGTCTTTGAGTCGTATAAAACAACAGCAAACCTATAAGTTTTTTCCAAAATCGTTTTGTATTATTCATCGGGAACAATTAAGCACGATGGTGAAAGCAAAGAAATACGTCGTAGTTAAACATTTCGAAGGTGAACCAAAACCAACAGATTTACAATTGGTCGAGGAAGACTTACCAGCTCTTCAGAATGGAGGTAAAGGTCGTTGGATATACATATGTCTAATAGTATAAGAAATCTTCACGTGCTAGTGCATTCAAGTGTTACCTTCGTTGTTAATGTATGTATTATTATCTAGCGCCGCGACCTCTTGACTCGCTACGACTGAATATGGGCAACACTTCTATAATAGATAAACAACTTTTTATTCGTTACGAGTTGAATCAAAATTCAAATTCAAATTACAGAACGATTACTCAATGATAAACAAACAAAACTTAACTGTTAAATTGAATACAAATTATGAACGTACTATTCATACGGTGTTTTTATTCGTCATCTATTAACTGAATAAAACTGTATTTAAGTCTGCTGGTGGCCAATAAAAGGACGTGTAACCATGTTAGAAGATTATTATTAGATAATTCAAAGGAATGAGATGAAGCAAACAAATATAGAACAAAAATTAACGATAAGACTTATATATGACTAAACTACCGATGTTTAAGCAAATTCATATTTTTATCGATTTACATAAAAAATTGAGACTTAAGTGAATGTATGTTTGGTCTTCTAAACGCTATAAAATGTATATTATTGTTGATATGTCATATATTTTTGCATTTGTACACATTCTTATAGATTTTTCAATATTCCTATTTGCTATGAATGCATGAACATCCACAGTCTATATGTATCACTTTGATATTAATTATAACAGTTCAATAATTCAGTAATATGAACAGAGACGATCAACATTTTATTGTAGCAATAAATAACGAATAAAAACAACGTATCACTCGGTTCATTCGATCGATATAAGTATTTGTATTCATTTACCGTGAAATGCAATTCTGTAACTCACATTTCAATATTTATTCAACGAATGACGCATACGAATTTCTCTAGTAGTTATATTAAGAAATACTACAATTGTAATATTTATACAACGTATATCTTCTATTTGAATAAGAAATGTCACTCTACTAAGAATTTTGCCCATTTCCAACAAATAGCTAAGGCATTATAAGAATGACTTGAACAAATTATTATTTACATAAACGCGCTTTACCTAAGTCGATCGTCTAAAAAATGATCCAGTTTGTAAATAGTCATTATTCATAATGTTAATTTATTACAAAAAAAAAGATTTATTAGGATTAAAATGTGTTCAACTTTGGTTGGAAGGCATTTTGCAGATGACTATTAATATTTCTTCGTCGCATATGTATCAATTATTGCACATTGATGCAATGATAGTTACGTAGTAACTAGTTAGTATTTTTGATAAAAAAAAAAAATAATAAAAATAGATTGAAATTTCAATCTTTCGATATTTGTATATTTATAAGTAGGCACATCAATCATCTATGAACCTTATTTAAGTTTACATAATCGCGATATTTATGGACGAATCGTATGATTTATTACCCTTCATACTGTGAAATTTTACGACTATATTATTATAGATACAGTTTACCACTTAAGGCTTATAAACGTTGAAATTGCAAATTTATTGTATTTCTCTCGAGATAAAAGAAAATAAATTCTACTCGTATCATTTAACTTTATACAGAAAGTCGACGCTGAAGTTACTAGTACCGTCATGTAGCTTCCAATTTGAACGTTCCCTTTTATCGCATGTTATGAAATAAAAATAAGTAGAACCTAAGTTTACAAGTTTGAAGCAGGGCCGGCGCAAGGCAGGTTCACCGCGTTCGTCGGAACCCGGCCTCGCGGTCTACGAAAATTATCCAATTAAAAGGCACCGATTTTTATTAACTTTTTACAGAATGATACTATTAACAGATGCAAGACATTTTTTTAATAGCGATGATTCAGTTTAAAGGAGTGACAAAAATCATCAAAGTATTATTATTTAGTATTCGTCTTATAAAAAATATATAATATGTAACAGCGTTTGTAAATAAATAATTCCTCGTTGTGAAATTTAAGTGTAGGATTTGAATGTGAATTCAGGTCCCGCAACATTTTTTAACACGGCCCCGCAAAAGGTCACCCCGGCCCTGGTTTGAAGTAATATCTATCGAACAAAATACATTCCTTTTACAAATTACTGTCAAATATAAGCACAATCTCTTCAAATATCGACTTGCCTTAAAATTTAGAATGATCATTAATAATTTTTTAGTCCCTACCATATTAGTTTGTATGGAAAGCTACACTCTGATATGATAACTGTGTTATCTCCATTGATTTGTTTTCTTTTTCATTCATATTCTCTATTTATGCGATATGGAATGTTAAATTTATCACAATATCATACGTTTTTAAAAATTCAAATTATTTTCAGAATTCCTTGTTCAGGCAGAGTACCTTTCTGTTGATCCTTACATGCGTCCTTATATTTTAAGATACCCGTTAGGTATTACAATGATCGGCGGACAAGTGGCTAAAATTATTGAATCAAAGAATCCCGATTATCCAGTTGGAAAAAGGATTGTTGCCTACTTGGGATGGAGGACACATACAGTTGTTAATTTACAGACATTCTCTAAAGGAGATTTTGTATCACAAAGACCCTATCTCTTACCTGATATAGGGGATCTTTCACCGTCGTTAGGTTTAGGAGTTTTAGGAATGCCAGGGTAAATATTGTTTAAAATACAAAATAATGTATATTTATGTTCTTTTGCTCTCCAAGAAGACAATTACATAATGATATATTATACAATCTCCTCATTTTGTTTTTCCATGTATTGTACTTCTTCAATTCTTTATGAACTTCCACATTTTTTGTTTATTTTAGAAATACAGCATACTTTGGACTTCTAGAGATTTGCAAGCCAAAACAAGGTGAAACTCTTGTCGTAAGTGGAGCTGCAGGAGCTGTTGGTTCTCATGTTGGTCAAATAGGAAAAAATGTTTTTGGACTGAATGTTGTTGGTATTGCTGGCTCCGATGATAAATGTAAATGGCTTGTTAACGAGTTTCATTTCGACTCTGCTATTAATTATAAAACAGACAATATTGCAGCTGCATTAAGAAAAGCTGCACCAAAAGGAGTTGATTGCTATTTTGATAATGTATGTTATAATAGAATATTAGATTGATATATAAATATTTGTATTGAATGATGCAATTGTAATTAGATTTATGCTTATTTTATCTTAATAGGTTGGGGGAGATATTTCCACTACAGTTATGTATCAAATGAAACCTTTTGGTCGGGTGGCTGTGTGTGGAAGCATTTCTTCATACAACTCTGACGCTTCGTCTTTGCCAAAAACAACTATTCTCCAACCAGCTATTGTGTTTAATCAATTAAAAATAGAAGGTTTCATTGTGCAACGTTGGGGTGATCGTTGGTTAGAAGGCATGAAGAAAAATCTGCAATGGATAAGAGAAGGAAAACTTCAACATCAAGAAACTGTTACAAAAGGATTTGAAAATATGTTTGATGCATTTGTTGGCATGTTACAGGGTAAAAATATTGGTAAAGCTGTTGTTCAAGTTTGAGGAAAAATATTTATTTGGAAAAATATGATGTTTTTAATAATATCATTATATATCTTTTAAGTGTACACTTGTTTTTTGACCTCATGAACTCGATATCCTTATTTTGGTAATGCATTGCTATGTGAATGATGATAATGTAAAGTATGATAAATTAATTCATCAAGACAAAACAATGATACAGAAAGAAGTATAGACATTCCTATAAATAATAAAATTACAAAAAGATTGCTATATAAAAGTTTTCCTTCTTTTAATATTTTATATCTATCTACTAACTATGGAAGTAATTGTAATAAAAGTTGCTATTATTATTACAATATCATAATAATACAATAACAGAATTCATATTTATATGGATTAACAATAAGGTAATATATACACTTATACATAATATGCTTCTCACATTAGGTGTCCATCAAACATAAAAATTAGAAGATATTTGATCAATTTAAAATTAAATAAACGAAAGACATTACTATTTCTTAGCTTCATGTTAATAACGTTAGCAGTTTCATTAAATTGCCAGCTAATCACAGCTAATCAATTGTTAAATTCCACATGTACCTGCTAAATAGGTACATCCACAGACAACAGAAAATCTTAAATGATTGCCATAGACAGTTTTATTGCAATATATTACACAGATTATAATGCATCACAATGAATAATTACATTTGGTTTCCCGATGCCAAACGGCATTACATGTACATACTTTAGGAATCGCAACATTATGCCTAATACAACCTTATAATAATACCTTACAGAAAACTTCGGGAACTTACATTCATCTCTAATTACAATATAGTACATGTGTCTTGAAATTCCATTTTGGCCAAAGCTTTCGAGGTAGACGATTGAAAAATATCGTCTCAAAATTCAAACACGTGGTGCATAGGACACAACGTTTCAATCAGTTTACAAAAAAAACCTAATACCAATTTATTTATACACAGTCGAGCAAATACTTCTCACCATATAGATTACTTTCTATGTTCGTATCGTCGCTGAGATATCTCGGAGGTATTAGGAAAACACAGTGATCACCAGTGAAGCAAATGAAAGCACAGAATAAGTGATCAATACAGAAGTTTCACACGATACTTTTGTTGGCCTCATGGTGCCTCCTTGCTTCCTTGCTCATACAAACGAAAGCAAGCTATATGATACATGTATTTGCATTTCATTTTTGGTAGTGCTCATTATTCTGCTTTTCACGTATTGCTTTCCTGCTTTAGTTCTGTTTTTATCATACAAATTTTTACAGTATAAATAAGTTCACGTTTTAATATGCATTCATAAAAAACGTATCTAGCTACATCAAAAGTAGTGTTTCAAAATGAAACTTCTGTATAATTATTATCCTGTAACGAAGACTATATATACTGATCAATTTTTCCAATGTCCAAAGCACTTTTCACGCACTGAAGCTTCCCCTTGTTATATTGCGAGAATAAAGCAAACTTTACATTGCAGATTTTATTTACTCTATGAGATCCACTTTTATGTTTGTTGCGAGTCGAACATAGTACGGTGAAAACATATGTATCACAGTGTAGTTTTACAAAGACGAAATTCTTGTTGGAATCTTTGATGTTCATATCCTCATACTTTTAGATTGGAGTAAGTCCTAAGCAAATTAAACAGATGGTTCCCATTAGGGTAGTACCTAAGATGTATCTGTACTAAGGTAATTTATTCTAGTCTTAGGCAGTGGAAAAATTAAGATGGATTGACCAAGTTCATACTTGAATCTCATTTCTAATTTAACCACATATTACTATCGATATTGCTATTAATATTGTAGATTCATTCTCAGTGATACTACTTAGGAAATGTATTCAGAACAAAGGAGTTTTATCTTTGTAAAAGTACTCTGTATCGTGTCTAAGACAACATTCTATCGAATGGAAACATTGACATCTTCTGATTAGAAGCTATATGGGAGGTGGTTCATTAGCCATACTCTCTTCCTCCACCTTGCTCTCTGTTCGCGAATCCTCGAGCATTCATTGTGAACCATTTTGTTGAACAAACATGTCCCTGCCAGGATGTTGGGTTAAATTTTATCACGTGACATTGATCTCTTCATCCTCCTCATTCTCTGTTTGCTCCTCAGGGCGCTGAGGACTCGTCAAAGGACTGACATCGCTCAAGTCCATTCTTGGTCTATCCCCATCAGCATCGCTTAAGTCCGGATTTGGATTGTTCTTGTTTGGTAATGTTTGCTCTCGTGAGCCACCTGTTGCCAATAGTTCTCTCTCTTTGCTGTTCCTCCACTTCATCCTCCGATTTTGAAACCATATTTTTACCTGCAACCAAACCGTTACGAATTAATTAGATTTTTATTGAGTATTTTACCATTGAATAATTAACATTTTGATTTCTGTGTTCATAGAATTAGCGTTTTAAATATTTCAATCATCCAGGCCAATTTCATTCGTCTTTAAATCAGGGATAGGGAACCTTTTGATTTTTAATAATCAAATGTAACTGTCAGCACTGTCATGGTGGACACTCAAAGATACCATCTTAAATTAATTATATTTAATTTCATTTAAAATAAAAATGTCACATATACTCCATACCATTTGTTTTCTTTAAAAAGTCCTTAATTCCAGTATTATTTATATCTACATCTTCTAGGTTATGTTTCTATTTATAAAGAAATTTTATTTCTTCTCACATAAATTTGATAAGGGAAAACATATTTATAATAAATTGTTCATATTCCTGCATGGACGGAAGGAACATATAAACATTCATCACGTACAGTGAATCACGAAAGTATTCGAACGCTCCGAAATAAACAGTTTGGAGCTTAAAAAATACAAGTCATATTATGAATTACGAAATCATAATTACTTACATTAAATTTCAAGTGTCTTTGATAATATTAACGCTAGTTATGAAACATTTCTTGGTAACATCAACTAAATAAACATCACAAAAGTATTCGACCAATTCGAACGACAAACCTCACACACAAAACAAACTTTGTGTGGCGCCTTCATCCATATATGTATTACATATACAGGGTGTCCCAAAAATGTTGTAACACCTTGAAAGGGGTGATTCGGAAGGTGATTTGAAACAACTTTTTCCTTAGCGAAAATGTTGTCCGAGGCTTCATTAAGGAAATATTAACAGAAATCCCCGACCGATCAAAGCGCGAGTATGCCGGTGGAGTGTAGGCTACGCGCTAGGCGGCCGCGCTCATACGCTATCGCGGCCGCTCCAACGATATACGCGCGGTCTGATTGGTCGGGGTTTTTTGTTAATATTTCCTTAACGAAGCCTCGGACAATATTTTCGCTAAGGAAAAAGTTGTTTCAAATCACCTTCCGAATCACCCCTTTCAAGGTGTTACAACATTTTTGGGACACCCTGTATGCTTCCATCACGTAGGCAGCGACACTGATGGGCAAAAACCCTAGGCTTCCAATAAATCTGAAGTTTGCCGATATGTTTGTCTCGTTTCCTCTTTAGAACATTTTCCAAAGAAAGAAACGAGACAAACACATCGGCAAACTTCAGATTATTCGAAGCCTAGAGTTTTGCCCATCTCTGACCGGAGGAAGCAGATACTGTCTCCACGACCAGAGTTCTAGGCTTTTTTGGTTTTGTGAATTGAAATTCTTGTTTCACTCTCGAACGTGACGCGCACTTCGAGTTTTATCTATGTAAATCCGTTAGTATTCCACACTTCCCGTGTTTAGCACTGTAAGTACCATGAAGACTGTATAAGGAGATCCAACTCCATACGAAAGTTACTAGAAAATTGTTATGAATATCAAGGGTGCTCAGGACCCAGAGCCAAACTCCGAGTTGACTTCAGCGACAGTTGCGGAAAAAGTAGGAAACTCCGGGATAAGGACAGAGAAGGCGATACAAAAATTGCAGGAGAGACGAGGACAGGACGATTAGGTTAGCATGATTTTTTTTCCAGGATATTGAAGTAAAGAAGCAATGTTTTCTAATAAGTCTGGTTTTAATATATTCGTTACACTTTGGCGGATGCGACTCCAAGGCCTGATTTTGCAATTTTGACCTTAAAACTTTATAAGCAATAAAAGTATGTTTGCTATCTTCATTTTATTGCTTATAAAGTTTTAAGGCCAAAATTGCAAAATCAGGCCTTGGAGTCGCATCCGTCAAAATGTAACGAATATATTAAAACCAGAATTATTAGAAAATATTGCTTCTTTGCTTCAATATCCGGGGAAAAAGATCATGCTAGCCTAATTGTCCTGTCTTCGTCTCTCCTGCAATTTTTGTATCGCCCTCTCTGTCCTTATCCCGGAGTTTCCTACTTTTTCCGCAACTGTCGCTGAAGTCAACTCGGAGTTTGGCTCTGGGTCCTGCGCATCGAATTTCCAACAATTGCTTTTCACATTATTTTCCAATCGGTTCAATAGTTTAAGTGTTACGAGCCAATATATATGAGAAACTTTGATTTCTTCGGCTAAAATAGAACACGAATATTTCTTCCATCGCCATGGAAAAATATAAATTGTCAAATTATGTCTAATTTCTTATTGTCTACGTATAGGTCGCAAATTTACGAAGAAAACAAGCTTTTGTTGAAGAAAATCTATGGATAAATACCGGAGTTAGGAACAATTGTGTAAAGGTACAAAAAATCCCAATTTTACTCTGTTTTTGTATTTTTTTCCTATTTATATTGTAGCGGCTAGCACGCACCGTAAATAACGGTTCACGTGCAAACAGCTAGAATGGTTTACAACAAGCAAACGACGAAGCTATTTTTGAGAAAGCCGTATTTTTCCGTTATTAACAGATGTTCGTTTCCTCGCGACAATTAGCTACGGCCTCAATAGCATATTGCAAATGTCGTAAACCATGGGTCTTCCGAAGGGCTGCCAGGCAAAGTCAAGCAACCCTCAGCAGGTGACGATGCGAGGCCTGAGGCCCGGAGGAAATTCCGCTGCATTGCCAAATTTCCAACGATGGTACTCCCCCACCTCAGCACATCTCCTTCCCGGGGAGACGCGCTAAGGGCGCAAGGAATTGGTGGTGCGTAAGGAAATTTTAAGGACGAT